CCTGGCTTAAATGGAGATGCTTTATTAATCTGAACACCATTATCCCTTACTTGCCCTGTAATTGCAAGTCACTGTAGGTTCGATAATTACTTAAAACATGAATTAATGCTTTTTTTAAAATGCATATCAACATAAATATGCTGAACACATACCAGTATGTATATAATATTCATATCAAAACTTATCTTTGAATAGACTTTTTTCTTTTTAATATTTGTTATTGCAATGCAAAAAAAATGAAATGAAGCAAAGATATGAATAAAGTCACGTGCATATAAAAAATAAAGCAGGTAGGGCAGGAATTAATGGCTTCAGGCTACAGAAAACAGGATCTCAACAGAGATGGTACTACCAGATTCATCAAAAGAACATCCAACACCCTATGAACTCAGAGAAAATAACCCTACAGTTTAAACCCTTGATCACAGGGACTTAATTCTTTAATATGGAGTGATTGAAGAAACAGTCTTAGGAACAAGTGCCCCCAAAAGGCAGAAGTGTCTAAAGAATCAAGCTTCAGTTGAGCCCTGGCATGAAGTACGGCAATAAAAATGACACAGTCCAGAACAACTTCTCCACTAGATCTGAGAAAGTATAATTTCTGAGAGGTTAATCATAAGTTTTATAATTTAACAGAAACAATGAAATTGATCAGAGATTCTAGTTATTGTATAATTAATATAATCTGAATATGTTCTAAGACTGAAATGGGCATATAGTAATACTGGATTTACTAGTTGATATCTGTGTAATTCATAAGAGATTGACAGACTTTTTCAATTGATCCACCTACTCCCTTTAAAAAAATGACAATAATGAAACTTTAGAACAGAAATAAAATTTTGAATGTGAATTTAATATTGTGATATGCAAAAGCTAAATTGGTGGGTTCAGAATTTAAAAATTGACTAGTTGCTTAATTTCTGTAGTAGGAACATGTATACAGACTGGACACCACAAGTTACTATCTCCCTATTCTGGCATAAGTATTTCTGGGTAAGAGGGCTCATATTTACTTTTTATATTTTTTAAAAAATTCTGAAAAGAAATATTTAGTAGTAGTATCAATATTATTATCACTATTGTTATTATTTATATGGAGTTTAATAAGCAAACATTTGATTTTAATAAGTATCAGGAAAGATTTATTTCTTTTTTGAGACATTTTCCAATTGCCTAGTGATGTTTGTTTGCAGAATTCTACTATTATGATTACTTACCTGATTTCTAACCCATGCTATAACTATAGATCTCTGAAGAGAATCTTTTACCTCTTTATTTCTTAGGCTGTATATGAGAGGGTTGATCAAAGGTGTTAGGATTGTATAAAAGGCAAAGATGAGTTTGTTCCAGTCGCTCAAGGAATTTAAATCTGGTAAAGCATATGCAACAGTGATAGATCCATAATAAATAGTTACCACAACGAGATGAGAAGAACAGGTAGAAAAGGCCTTTTGTTTTCCAATAGTAGATGGGATTTTAATGATAGTAGATATTATATATGTATATGACAATAATGATAGTGTAAAGGGGGCAGGGTGAACAAAGATACAAAAGTTAAAATTAGGATTCTTAAAAGAAGAGTATTGCTACAAGACAACTGCATAATTGGGTAGGTGTCACAAAAGAAATGATCAATTTCATTTGGACCACAGAAGACTAACCGTGACATTAATATAATTGTTATAGTACTGGCAATGAATCCAGTTACCCAAGATCCTGCTGCCATGTGGAGACACAATTTACCATTCATTACAGACACATAATGAAGTGGTTTACATATAGCAACATATCGATCATAGGACATTGCTGAAAGGAGATAACATTCCACAGCTTCTAGGTAAGCAAAGAAATAATGTTGTACAAAGCAGCCATTGACTGATATTGATCTATCTCCATTGAAGAAACTAGCCAGCATTCTGGGTAAAATAGCAGAACTATAGAAAGACTCTAAGCAGGATAAATTCCCAAGGAAAAAATACATAGGAGTAGGAAGATGGCGATCAGTTGCCACCAGTAGAACAATAAGGACATTTCCAGCAATGGTCATGATGTAGATTATAAAGAACACCAGTAGCAAAATAATCCTTATGCTCTGAAGATGCCTAAATCCCAGCAGAATGAATTCCTTGATAACAGTTTGATTTTGCAGTCCTAGAGTTTCAGCAACCTGCATCTGTGAAAAACAACAGAGTAGCAATCTTTAATTGCTACATTACATAATGTCTCTGCTTATTTCCATTACTCATTAATAGAAAACGTACATTCAATTTGTGAATAAAATAAAAAAATAATAAGTCAGTTGTTATCAGTAGTGGCACAAAGCATTAGAATTATAGGTAAAATCCTTGTATAGCTTTAAAAAAGTTGTTTCAGAAGACAAAACTCTGAATAATAGCAAATAAATAAGAGTATCAAATTAATAAATAGAACTCATATTTTTATTGTATCATGGCTATTGATTAAAGGTTTTCCCCGCTTTGGAAACTTCAACATAGTAAGAAAATATGCTGATTAAATCAAATTTCTATTTAATAAGTTTATTTAGATGTTATGCTTTTTTCCTTTCTTACAGGAATTATTTAATAGTCAGTTGCTGCTAATGAATTCATAGATGCTGCTAAGTTTTTTGAAAAATGACCAAAACATTTATTATACTTTAAACAGAAAATAGCGATAAGCCACTAGAAAATAAGCTATGTGTAAAATAACTATCAACTCTTTATTTTATATTAATCTAGTGGACCCTTAAGAATAATTTAAATTTTTTGTTCCTTGTTTCTGACTCAGAACATTAACCTTTTCTAAGTCATGGGGAATTATGACTCATTGATAATATAAATACCAGGTGAGGCATTTGAAATTATAAAGAGGCCATAATTTTAAGCAATCCCAGTCCCAGAAGAGAATTCCAAAACATTATAGAAAATAATATATAAGTATATATTTAAAAACACTCAGACAATCATTTTTTTTTATTTTGATCATAAAGCAACATAAAGTAGAAGTAAGAAAAACTCATTTTAATAATACCACTGGAACTTAAAAGAGGTGAAAGGCAACTAAAAGTTAGAGTTCTTAACATAATACTATATAATTAAAGTTAAAATATATCTATAAAATAGAATAAAAATAAATTCTCAGTTTACTCATGCATAATACCCTTATTTATCAGTTTGCAAATTTTAATTGTTGCTAGGCTAAATCTAGCAACATTATATGTAATAAACAGTTCCTTATCTAACTGAAGAAAATCAAGATCCAAAATGGGGGTCCTCTCCCAAGATGGCTGCTGAATGGTAGAATTTTTTTTTCTTTTCTGCTGACAATCTGCTGATTTTGCTGCCAAAGTTGGTTCTTTTGCAGCATTGCTCCCCAGATTTAAATATGAGTGCTAAGGAATAACTCAGGACATCTTTTGGATGGCTGTGGACCGATCCAGGAAGGAGAATCTTGAAGATTGCATTTCCCTGTAGGAGAAGCCAGAAAATCAGGATTTTCTATCCATCTTTTCCTCTCAGCAGACTGAGAAATCTGGGTTTTAATTACACTCTTTGAAGTTTCTGTTTTGTTTGTTCTTTATCTCTAAAAGTTAACTGGTTCATTGAATGCTGATTTATTTTAATCCTTGTTGGATTTTATCAGATCTTTTCACTCTTTTTTGTTTCTTTGTTTTGTTTTGTTTTTTCTTTGATCTATTTGGCTTTCTGTAAGGAAGTCATCCCAAGTTTCTGGGTAATGAAAATGCTTGAATTTGATTTACATTTACACTTATATATGACTTTCCACTAAAATGTGTTTTGCATTTTATTAACTTGCAAAAAAATGGATTTTTTAAAAAATTCTTGGATCAAAATAACAAAAATATCCTCCCTATTTTTCTATTTGTTTTCTCACTGCGAGAAATATTACTTTAATGTTCCTTGTTTTTTGTCTCTGAAGATTTTTTTTTAAATCTTTCATCACTAAGTTGCAAGAGAGCAACAGTGTATCAGTTTATAGACATGGAAATGTGGCTGGCATTTGAAAAAAATAATAATGGTTCAAAAAATATTCAGATGCAAGTAAGTATAGATAAACCAAATCAAAAGGAATTTGATTTGAAAATAACAGATTTGGTGAAGACTGAAAGACATATGGAGTTACAGAATTCCAATACAACAGCCTAAAACTGATAAATTGGTTTACCCTAAGAAGATTGAAGAAGACTGGGAATGAATTTATCACATTTAACTGGACAAATTCATTTAGACCTTTTTGCAAGGATAGATCAAATCTGGAGAATCAATTTATTATATTTAATCAGACAGCAATTGATAAGAAATGGTATTAAAAAACTAACATGAATATTTGGTCCAGGATGAATTAGTATTAATTGTTGGGATAGATAAGAAGCTGTGGTAAGCTTTTTATGAGTTGTATACAATAATAGTTTATTAACAAAGAGTTTTGAAATTTTACTCTTCTCTTTGTTGTTGTTGTTGTTGTTGTTGGTCTACCTTTAACTATTTTGTCATTTATATGAAAGATAAATAACAGGTTAATACTTTGCAAATAGAATTAGAAGTTTAAAAACTTTTGGGGACTGTTTTGTAAAGGGTGGGAAATTAATATTGTTACAATATATTTATTAGTTTTCAACTAGGGGAACAATATGTGCATATGTGTTTGTATGTTTTAGTGCACATTTTTAATGTTTTATTTGTTTGTTCCTGTAAAAAAATAATTTTGTATTTTAACTTTATTTGAATAAAATAAAATTATGTTATAAAAGGCAAAAAAATCATTATGATCTATAACACATAAAGGAGAATAAAATTTTCTGAATTATATTGGTAATAGGAGCACTATGAAAAACATGTGTGATAGTCTTGATGGTATTAAGATATGGACAGGTTCTCAGATACATGCTGTAAGCACTTTGATAAATCTTCCATTAAGAATTTCAGAAGATAAAACATGCACTTCTTTTAAAAAATAACCTTTAACCATTTATACCATTTGAAGTTGAAAATTCAGCTTTATTGGAAATGCACATAGGGAATATACAATATATTTCCAGAGTATGGAAAGAATCTGTTTTCTTTTGAAGACAGCAATCTTCATAATCTTGACCATTTCCAGTTTTGTTTCTCTATGTCAGGGGTGTCAAACTGAAAGCCCACCGGCTGGATGCATCATGGTGAAACTACGCCCACCCCATTGCTGGCAATGGAAAAAAATGTCATGATACGTTGCAACATGACACGTGAGTTCCAAGTTTGACACCCTTATCCTATGTTATTAATTAAATAGTTTTGTCAGATAAAGAAAAAAATTAAAAATACGGTGTTTTTTTTAAAAAAATAACTTGTTTTAAAACAAATGTATTCAGTTTGCATTTACTGTGAAGATCTTTTTAGTACTTCCTGAATAAATGGATACACATCTTTGTTTTGAAATGTGAAGTTCCATTTTCCAAAGAACAGAAAGTTGCTAAAATCCACAATTAAGGATTGTGTTGCCAAAATATACTCTCCCTTTTGCTCTTTCTATGTGTATATTGATGCACAAAAACAAATAAACATCTTTAAAATATAAAAGTGACTTTATTAGGAGAAAGAGTCACAAGCATGTATATAAATTTGAATTATGTTTTAGAATTACAAACTAATTCAGAAGCATGATATCACAAAAAACTGCAAAAACTCATGCAGTCCATGCCTCCTTCCTATCTTTACTTATGGTGTGGTGTTATGAACGGATAAAAGAAAATGTTCAATAATAAATTATAACCAAAGTCTAAAATAGGGTGGATCTAGTTCTACACACCCACTAGTGATGTGGAAAAATAGATAGGCCAAAATTTCACAATTTAGAATTTCATCTTCTATATGGTGATTTCAACTAGAAAAATTCATATCAATAACCAAAGAAAGATGAACTATGCAAAGGGCTAATTATCATATTGAGGACAGACAATTCTTAAAGACATAGACCTACATAGCTTTGTTGATAAAGATAACAAATTGATAAATAACTGACACATATGTTTTCTCAGTGCTTTCTTTACTTCATTGTTTCTCAAGCTATAGACAAGTGGATTTATCATGGGTGTCAAAACAGCATAGAAGACAGAAAACACTTTATTAAGGTTCCTCAGTGTATCAGTATTGGGTAAGATATAGACAATTGTTATGGTGCCATAAAAAAGGGTAACCACAATAAGATGAGATGAACATGTAGAAAAAGCTTTTTGTCTGCTACTGCTGGAGGTGATTTTCAGGACAGCAGTGATAATGCAACCATATGAAATTACAGTAAGCAAAAATGGAGGTACGGTGAACAAAAAGGAAATAAGATAAATTAGAATTTTTAGGAGATGGGTATCACTGCAAGACAATTCTATGAGTGGGAAGACATCACAAAAGAAATGATTAATTTCATTTGGTCCACAAAAATCTAAGCTGGACAGTAATGCAATTGTTGTAGAAATAGCCAAAAATCCACTAAGAAAAGAGCTGCCAACTAACTTCAGACAGAATTTACCATTCATTTTGTTTGCGTAATGTAAAGGGTGACAGATAGCTAAATACCGATCATATGACATTACAGATAAGAGATAACATTCAACAGCTCCTAGTGAGGCAAAGAAATAGTGTTGAATAAAACACAGTTGGAATGAAATGGATCTGTCCCCAGTTTGAAGACTGATCAAAGCTTTGGGAAGAACAGTAGAACTATAGCATGTCTCTATGAAGGAAAAATTTCCAAGAAAGAAATACATCGGTGTATGAAGCTGTTTATCTTTTATAACAAGTACAACTATCAGAATATTCCCAGCCAAAATTATCATATAGATTAAAAGAAAGAGGGAGAACAAAAGAAATTGTAGCTGTTGAGGATTCCTGAATCCTATAAGGATGAACTTGGTAACATTTGTTGACTTTTCTATACCAATTTTTTTTAGGAGTTGCATCTGTGGATAAAACATATTTACATATAGATGAAAGAAACATTCTTAGAAATATTACAGAATCATCTTTCACTGATCTAATCATTAATCAATATATTAGGTACAGATGCATATAAGGATTCTGAAGATAAATATTGCAAAGAAACCAGATTTCTTTTTATTGGGTAAGCAATACAGCAGAAGAAGGAATTGTGAAAATGCCAGAATTCACAGAACTGTCAAAACTGACATGTTTCATCACCAGAAAAGGTAACAAACACTTTTCTAAAAGATTAGAACTCTTATATAGATATTTTTGCTGAATGAAGAAAAATGAAATTATTATTTATGGATATGAAGGTTAAGAAAGATGTGTATTAAAGGAGGGATGAAGGGACTTCTATCTAAGAAAAAAGGAGTGTTATCTCTTGAAAGAGAGTTAGAATTTATTTATTTATTTAACTTTATTTTTTTATTCTTTTTTCCCTTCCTTCCTTCCTTTTTAACTTTTTTATTAATATTTTTTTATTTTTCCAAACTCTCCCCCATACATATACCATAATACTTATCAGATGTTAACATACATTCCCCCCACACTCACATACAAGATACTTTTAACAAAATGAAATAAATACATACACATGACTTTTGGTGTTGCTCGCCCATTTCCCCTTTTACCGTATCCACACTCCTTCTTCTCTACCTTCTTTCTCCCTTTCTTCTCTTCCCTACTTCCCTCTTCTTCCTCTCCTCTCCTTTACCACTCTCCTCCCCTTTCTCCTTCCTTCCTTCCTTCCTTCCTTTTTAACTTGCAGTTACTTTTTTACTCTATGAAAGAATTCTTAATAAATATAAATTATTTTTAAAAAGATAAGTTCATAGCAATCACAGTAGATTAATTTATAATTATAATATATGTATTGTAAGCTATTAATTTGTATGATGCAACACACTTACTCTGATAAAATATGATTTTTGTGCCATGTTTCATAATCAGTTGCTATTTTTTGCTGGTTGTGTATTATTTCCTAGTTTTATAGTTTCAGAATTTTTATCATTAGATCAACTTCATTGCTGAAAATATATTTCTTTTTTTAAAAAAAAAAAATCTTTATATCATATAGTTTGTTTGTTTCTTTGAACTCCAACCTCAGAAAGTGGGTGATCTTTATTTTTAAATAACCCAGGAAGAGAGAACCAAGATCTGGCTACTTCCCAGTCTTTTTGACTCCATTCCATTATAAAGCTGTACTCATTAGTCAGTGAAGTATATAAATCTTATTTAACTTGCTAAATAATTCCTATATGTAATCAATTATATTACAAAAACTCCAATGCAGTATTTATTAGTATTTATTTATCTGTTTAAAGTCACTGATTTTTACCTAAGCTCTTTTCTACAGTTTCATTCAACAAATATTAACAATTTACTTCTTTAAAATTTAATAAACCTGATAAGATTTTTTTAATTGATTGAGTGATTAATTGTCTTACCTTGTTTGTTGGTTCTGTTCTACAGTTTTGCATTTTGGAAGAAATCCCTATAATGTTTTGGTTTTATGATATACATAAAAAGTACATCTTGCAACATTTTAGTAGTGCATGTAGAATGTAACTTAGTCATTTCTACAAATTCACTTTGAAATATATATCCAATGGGTACGTTACATTTAAATATATTCACTGAAATAGTGCAGTCTTTTATACTTCAGCTGTTTTATGGTCAATTTTCTTATGCACAAGTTTGATTTACAACTACTATATCCAATGGCACCAGTTATCACAAAAGATGAAATGTAAGAAAAAATTAAGAAATCCCATTGGATCTAAGCAAAGTCTAATTAATAAGGGAAGAGGAAAGAAAAGTTAATGAAGAAATTTAGACAGATTAAATATATATTAACTAAGGGGAATATGGTCTAGGATAGGGTTCCCCAGGGAGTCAGATGGGATGATCCACTATTGTCATTATTATTGTTGTTGTTCATTGTGCTATTAATTAAAGAAGTGTTTATTAAATTATTTTAGTATAATAAATGTTTGGGGATCAATAAATAATCTGAAACTTTATGAAGGGATCAATGAGCTGAAGAGTTTGGGAAATACTGATCTAGAATTAGCAATAATTTTCCCCCTAGGCCTGCATATTTTTTTAAAAAAAATATTTTTAAATAATTTACTGGGGATGGGTGGCCAATAAATGTAAGTAAGAAAGTAAATAATAGATAGATAGATAGATAGATAGATAGATAGATAGATAGATAGATAGATAGATAGATAGACAGACAGACAGACAGACAGACAGAAAGACAAAATGGAGGGCTATATTGATGATCACTTTTTGGTAACAAGCAACAGGGAGAAAGCAGAACTATTTAACTCATTTTTTGCATCTGTCTTTACACAAAGGGAAAAAAACAGACCAACTACCAAATATAGTGCCATAAAAAAACAGAATAGAAACGCAAGTTAAGATAGGCAAGAAAACAGTAAGCGAGCACCTGTCCAGCCTAGATGAGTTCAAATCACCAGGACCAGATGGATTACACCCCAGAGTTTTCAAGGAACTGGCAGATGTGATTTCAGAACCATTGAACTATTGAAAGCTGGCTGAGGAATTCTGGGAGTTCAAGTCCACAAGTCTTAAAGTTGCCAAGGTTGAGAACCCCTGTACTACTTGATAAGATAGAAAAATGTGGGTTAGACAGAAGCATCACCACCAGATGGAGTCGTAGCTGGCTGACCATCCATACTTAGCATGCGGTCCTCAATGGAACTGCATCTACATGGAGGGAAGTGTGTAGTGGGGTGCCCCCAATAATCTGTTCTGGACCCAGTACTCATCAACATCTTCATAAATGATTTGGATGAGGGGATAGATGGGGAACTCATTAAATTTTCAGATGACACCAAGCTGGCAGGAATAGCCAACACTCCAGAAGACAAGCTTAGGATACAGGAGGATCTGGACAGACTTGAACACTGGGCGCTATCTAACAAAATTAAGTTCAATGGTGAAAAAAGTTCTACATTTAGGCAAGAAAAACCAAATGTACAGGTATAGTATAGGGGGTACCTTGTTCAATAATAGTAACTGTGAGAGGGATCTCGGAGTCCTAGTGGACAATCATTTAAAAATTAGCCAGCAGTGTGCTGCAGCTGCCAAAAAAGCCAACATAGTGCTAGGCTGCATTAACAGAGGGATAGAATCAAGATCACATGAAGTGTTAATACCACTTTACAATGCCTTGGTAAGGCCACACTTGGAATACTGCATCCAGTTTTGGTCACCACGATGTAAAAAAGATGTTGAGACTCTGGAAAGAGCACAGAGAAGGGTAACAAAGATGATTAGGGGACTGAAGGCTAAAGCATATAAGGAGAGCTTGATGGAATTGGGTAATGTCTGGTTTAATGAAGAGAAGGATGAGGGGGGACATGATAGCAGTATTCCAATATCTCAGAGGCTGCCACAAAGAAGAGGGAGTCAAGCTATTTTTCAAGGCACCTGAGGCAGGACAAGAAGCAATGGATGGAAACTAATCAAGGAGAGAAGCAACCTAGAACTAAGGAGAAACTTCCTGACAATTAGAACAATTAACCAGTGGAACAACCTGCCTCCAGAAGTGGTGAATGCTCCAACAAGTTTTTAAGAAGATACTGGACAGCCATTTGTCTGAAATTGTATAGGGTTTCCTGCCTGAGCAGAGGGTTGGACTAGATGACCTTCAAGGTCCCTTCCAACTTGGTGATGATGATGACGATGATGGAAAGTAATAGCTGAATTAAATGTAGTGAAATATTTAAAAGTAGTTTACAATTACCCTGTAATAATAATCAATATTTTGCTAGCACATCAAAACCCAGAAGCACAAGACAGGACTTGATTGTTTTTCTTCTGGAGCCTTATTCCATACCAGTAGCCCAAAACTATTCAATGCCACCTGTGTTGCCTTATTGGTGTGAATCAGAACAGCCATAGATTACATAGATACAAACACTTCAACAAAAGATATTTGAAGTTTGTGGTATGGTCTATAGGAATCTCATTAGGTATGCCCATTCTACTGAACTATTTTATTAATTCATTTGCAAAAACTATTGTATTAACCATGAGAAAATTGCCCCCAAGATATGTAGTTGCATATATATTGACCTTTTTATCATTATTATTTTCTTTTGTTAACTTTGGTAAAGCATCATCTGGGTTCATAACAGTTTTAGAAAATGGATAGAACAAAAAAATGATTTCCGTAATGCCCTGGTTCCCTTTTTCCTTGGGTTTGACATATCAGTAATTTGGACAGGATTTATCATGAGGTTTCTCATCTTTAATTATTCCTGGATTTAAAATATTTGTTTTAAGCAACTTCTTGTCCTGAATGATCTGAAAACTGGTTTCAGTATGAGTTTCAATAAATTTGCTTTGAAACTCTGTGGAACAATCACTTTTATTTCAAACAGAGGTATCTGTGACATAGAATCATAGCTTTCTTTGTCAAAACAAATAACTTCTCCTCTCATCACTATCATCCTACAATTCACAAAGGAAGAAATTTAAAAAAAAAAAACAATTTGCCTTCCTTAGAGCTATTTTTTATGAGGTTAGTTCCAAAGAACAATAAAACTGTTTCAGATGGCAAGATGTTCAAGTAATGCTTTTTCACTCTTATACTTCTTTCTTCCATTCTTGTAATTGACTTTTGTTATGAGAACTAAAGTATCTCTACTCTACTCCTCATTATCATCTTCCCAACATAGTTTTTTGTTTTAGTGTCTTCATGGTATTTTGAATACATGACAAGACAGCAAAGTCCTGAAGTTCCTCTAATTTTCGCTTTTTGAGTTAGTCTGTGAGGTAAGCTAGGCTAAGAGGCAATGACTAATACTAAGTTACCCAATAAGCTTCAGAGCTAAATTAAATATCATAAGGACATACTGGTTTTACTAGAGATAAAATTGTAACACTAGGAAAACTGGACTCATTTTTATTGATTTTATAAATATTTATATAGCACATTTTATTTGAGAAAATCTCAAAGAGATGAGAGAGGTAGAGAACAAGCAGTCATGGAAAATTAAGACTCCTAAACTATCTGTTTTCATATGGATCCTGCAGAAAATAACTATAGAAATCAATATACAAATTAGCAAGTAAGCAACAATTCTTTAAAAAAAATAGAGTAAACCTTGCTAGATAAAGAAGAATGGAGTTGATTTTTCATTTGTGCTAATTTACCAAGCATAATTTTAAAGGAAAACTTTTTCAAACTTATCAGGGTTAGGATCTTATCAATGTCTATATAGGTGCTTATTGTCACCTAACAGTATAAAGCTCTTCATTACTTATTAGGAGGACCATCTCTTACTGATTGTCCCATCAGAACTGGCAGAAGAAACATGTTATGGGTTCTATCAAGAATTGTTTTCCAGACTTTCGGTTTGCCATCGCAGCCTGGGCAAATGCATGGAAGTGAGCCTCATCTCCAGCATCTGGTTTTATCCTGCTTGGGGACCCTGAAAAAGATTGAAAGTCACCCTGTAGGGGCAACTGATCGCGGAAGGGCAGCAGCCTTCCTCTTGATCAGGGCAGCTCTTCAAACTGACGGGGAAAAGACCAGCCATAGTAATATGGCTCATCACTAAGCTGCTGACAGCTGAAATCAAATTTATTACCAAGCACTTTGAAAGCAATGCGGATGAAACTGGGTGAGATTTTATCTTCTTTTTATCCTAAGTATCTTCTTCCTGTAAAAGCTCTTTGAAGTATCTTCCCCCTGTGAAGAGAGAGGGAAGGGAATTTCTATCTCATCCTCTAGTCTAAAGAATAGCGGCGTCTGACTACTGAGGGGAATTGAAGCATTAAAAAGAACAACTTTAATCTAAGTGGATTTATATGTTTTCTGAAACTTGGGGACCAAATTTTTTCCTGTTTTTACTGGAAACTCTTGTTTTTAACCTCCCAAAAAAAGAAAAAAAAGAAAAGAAAAAGAAATACAATTGGAAAAAGAATTAGAAAAAAATTGGGACTTAAAAAATCCTTAAATGGCACCAGTCACATCTTGTGGTGAAGCTTGGTATGGCAATTTGTTATTTCCCAAAAAGAGACTTGACTCAAAGCCCAGACCTTTATAAGACCTCCTTATCCTTGGTACTATCGCTGAAGACTTAGCTGCAAGAGAGCAGCTGGGCAGCAAAATTGGTTTATTTGAACTGTAAATGTAAACCTTTACTGACTTTTGCTTAACAAATAACTTTTACTAGAAAGACTATGCACAAAGAAGTGAAAGAGATGGATGGAGACCAGAAAAAGATTCTTGATATGCTGAAAGCAAGACATGAAACCATTCTTTTAGCTTGTGACAAAGTGAGACCTAAAATAAAAGATCAAGATGCCAGCTCAGATGTACAAAGCCAAATTTTGACTACTACCAAAGAACTAACAATGCAGAAGATAACAGAAGAAGCGGGACAACCAAATATTAAAACAGAGGACTCAACTGATCAACAAATACAGCTGATGGAAAGTCCAGAAAAGGAAGTGACAACACTGAAAATGGAAATGACTTTCTATATGAACCAGAAGGAATTTGAGAAAGAAATAGAACAGATTGAATTGAAGACAAATATATTAGAGCAAGCATGGGGAACTGGAATAACAGGGAGACAATTTAACAAATACAAATGGGCTAGTCCTTCCAGAAAACTGGCAATCAAATGATCTCTTTTAACTCAAATTTGGGACTTAAATATATAAGAATAGATGGAAATCTATTTGATGATTTAAAGGTGCCGATATGAAAGCTTAGTTGGCAAAAGAAGAAAGCTAGAATAAGATTGAAAAAATTGGGACTTTGACTCATTAGAGGGGATTTATATTGCCAATTAGTGGGCTAAAGGGAGATGTTGAGACAAGGGGAATTTTGGTTATTAGAATTAAAATTTTGGGAAATCAGTCAAAAATAAGGATTTTATCAGTTCAATATTTAAAAATTAGATCTAAAAGGGAAAAGAAAATGAAATACTATGAATATGTTTGATTTATTGATTAA